CTTTGAGATAGACTGGGCTAAGACATAGTAACTATCCCAAATACTGTATCACTTTTATCGGAATTGTAGCTGCTGAGAAGTGGGATTGTGGGACAATGGATCCATTATGTCCTGCCTGGGGATATTTGTTTGTTTGTTTATAATTTCTTTTTTGTTTCAAAATTTTCTATAGCATTAGCCTTGTAAATAGGCATCCAACTATGGATGGAAATATTAAACCATATTAAATCTTTATATTTTTCAGGGCATTTTTAATGTATTCATTTGCTATTATTTCAGTTCTGAAGCTTCTTGATCTAAGTTTATGCTGCCTGCTTAACATATACAGTTGAAGGTTGATTTTGTGCTACTCATTCTTTGACCAGTAAACCTACAGGAACACAAAGGAGCTCTCAGGGCCGCATACAGTCTTGACAACAGTTCTGTCAGTTCTGTCAAGTTGGGGGGAAAAGCCTGGCCTAAGATCTTTCAGACAGTTTTGTAGTGTGCTGTCTGAAAGATTTTGTGGTGCTTGCTGAGGGATTGTGAGAAATGCAGTCTCTGAAGATCTCTGGGGAACACCAGATAGAGAAGGCTGCAATTATAACAACTTTAATAATAGAATGTAATAGGAAAAAATTGAGAAGAGCAGCCCAGTCCCAAGACATGAATGCTTAAAATGCACCTGGAAACAGACTACAAACCACTATAGCTCCTGAAGCAGTGGCATCTCATGTCCTAAAACCAACATCACTAATGCGATGGATTGTTGTGTCTATAAAAGGGGAGATGGTGTGATGGACTACAGTTAAGAGGCAATTTCCTTGGAAGGAGGTAGCATATTCCAAGAAGTGGGGCAAGATTGGAAACAGAGGAAGAGATTTAGGATAACTACTCACTAGACTCTCCCAGAATATTTCCATTAGGGTTCCAATAGTATAGGTTTAGTCTGGCAAGATTCTGTCTATATCATGTAAGCAAATAAAAAATTGGATTTGGGTTGGATTCAAGATTCTAGAATCTGTGTCATTCTTCTATGTCAAGAATGACATAGAAGACCTGACATTTGCTGCCATATTCTGCACCAACTGAAGCTTCTGGTTCTGATTTTACATATTGTAGATTTAAAGTCCTGGCATGCTTAACAGATACATCCAATTTGACACAACCCTCTTTCTTTCAGAATGTTCCGTGTCCTTTATCCAGGCCTTTTCATTTCAAGGGAAAGGAAAGGATAGAGATATAGCTTGCCCCCACCCCCAAATAAATTTCTGCTTGGTGCAATAAATCTTTAAATCCATACCAACCTGGTAAAATGCACTTTCCCGAACAATCAATTATTTTGTCAAAAGTTGCTCCAGAGAATTTCTCACGAATGGCCCTTGTATCACCAACTGCCTTTATACACCCATCTCTGAAAACAAACCACAACTTGAGATTATATGTCATGGAATTACCTGTTTCTTCTTAATGCCTTTCTTCTGTGCTGAAGATCTCTTCTTTCATCGAGTGGTTTAAGCACCTTTTTTTGATCCACCAGTATGGAAAGAAGAATAAACTGGGGCCTAGATCAGGGCTCGTTTACAAATGAGTCTTATCTGGAGAGATTACTTTTTCTCATTTTTGCAAAAGGTCTCAAAAAATGTTCTCCTGCTCACTCCTCTGTATCCTCCCATCCAGGGGTGGGATCCGACAGGCTTAACTACCAGTTTGGTCATTTACAAGGTTCGGTGATTTACGAAGTGCTTCCCTGCACGCTGCTCGCGTGCGCCTGTAAATCGTCATCAGCATGTTGCGTGCAGAGAAGCAGCCTTTCAAGGAGCCCCCTTTTCCTGCTTTTTAAACTGCAGCTGTGCCTCGCATGGCAGCTGAAGTTGAAAAAAATCAGGAAATAAAGGTCAAGTAAGAGCCCAGGTGGGCGGGTGGGCAAAAACATCAGCAGAGATAGAGTTGGTTCTATGTCTGCTGCTCTTCAGAGCTACCGGTTCTACAGAGGTGGACAGAACCAATAGAAACCCACCCCTGCTCCCATCATATCTTCTTCCTAGTATCCTTATGATTTATATTGACTGTTTCCTAGTATGATTGATTGCTTATTGTACCCTATGACTATCATTAAGTGTCGTATCTTATGATTCTTGACTCCTGACAAATGTATTTTTTCTTTTATGTATACTGAGAGTATTTACACCAAGACAAATTCTTTGTGTGTCCAATCACACTTGGCCAATAAAATATTCTATTCTTTTGTTTTCCCTTTTGTTTTGTTTTTTCAGGAAAAGTAAGAGATGCTCAAATTCTTTGCTGGTAGCCCTGGTCAATCAATCTATTTCAGCAGAATTAATATATTCTCACATTAGGAGAGAGTAAGCTACCAATATCAATGGGGTAACTGATTGAAGTAAGTTGCATTCTTTTTAATGAGTCCTCCACATGTGGCCACATCTTAATTCACTCATAAATTCATTTATAGTAGAAACAGTAGGACTGCATAGACACACAATGTTATGTGGGTTTCTTGCTTCTGGATTAGCCTGCTGGTTGGGCTTCATAAAACATGCTTTATGGCAAACCTCCACGGTTAATGCAGGCCATGGCATTCATGCCTATGGGTGCTCTGGGTCTTCTGAGCATGGTCGTTTGCTTGAAGGTGTGTTAATGAAACGTCTGTCAGCAAACGACCAATGTCTGGAATAATCTGACTCTGTGGTTTCTTCCCCAAACCCCAAAAACTTTAACCTTAGACTGTCTACTATTGACCTCACCCCTTTCCTAAGAGGTCTGTAGGGGGCGTGCATAAGCGCACCAACGGGCCTACTGTCCCTGTCTATTGTTTCTTTTTATTTTATTTTTCTTATATGTATCCATTTCACGTATTCATAACTATGTTATACTTATACCTGTTATCTTATAATCGCTTGACAAATAAATAAATGAATAAAAAATAAAAGCTCAGAGAGCCCCCAAGGACTCCACAGCTCAATCCTGAGCTACCCATTCTCTTTTCTGGAATGAATTTATTCTATCCTAAACTTTAATTCCAAGAAAGTTAATAAAGTAAAGCAATAACCAAACATTGTTAATAGTTGGATTTATTGCGAGTGAGGTGGGAGACTCCACGGGGTTTTAGGCTTCAGGCAACCGTTTCTCACCTCCGCCTGCCATCTGAAAGGCCAGGGCAGCTGGCCACGGCCATTCGGAATGCCGCTCTGCCCAGAGCCACGACCCATCGCCTCTGGCGAAGATGCACTTACTTGCCGACCACCACGCTGGCGTTTTCCCGCAGGGCCACCTGCTGCATGCCGGCCTCCAAGAGATACCGCTCGCCTTGGGTGCAAACAAGCACCAGTTGCTGAGCTCCTTCGAGCATCAGTTTGTACTCCCCGCCGCCGGCCATCGCCTAGTCCTCCGCAGAGCCAAAAGCAGGATAGCGGCCGCAGGGGGCGAAGAGCAAGTTTGCTCGGTCAGGGTGGATCTCTCGGGAAGGGCCGAGTTTATTTGCTGGCGGCATTCAGCACGACGAGGCGCAGCCCGGCTTAATGCGTAGCACTTCGTTGCCCTTGATTTATTCTCGACCCTGCGCTATCAGTCAGCTTGCTTCTGCCTGCCTCAAACTTGGCTCTTGCCACCCTCTGATTAAGGGCGGTGACAAAACTTTTGGGTTGACATAAAGATAACAAGGATTTCACTTTGGATGTCTTCGTGCTTTTTTTTTTTTTACAAAATTTTGTGAAGCTATCCTAGAGTCATTTTGAAGCTGGGCTGCCTGAAAACTTGATGAATAGGTGCAAAGCAAGTCGCGATCGGCTTAGCGCCACCACGAACTGTGATTTAGGGGCCATAATGGACTGAATCTGCTCAGTGGAATTGTTTAGAATTGGAGCGGGGGAGCCATGAGAAATGGTTGAAACATGAAATAAATGCCCCAACTGTATAAACCAGCCACAGAGAAGCCAACCCAACTCAGGCGCAGAAGTAACATAACTTTTCTGGATACAAAAGATGTCTTCTCAACCAAGGAGGAAACCTGTGAATCCCCTTCTATGGAGAGGTTTTGAAATGGCAAATGGTGCCTCTTTGGTGCCACCTGGGACAACTTCTGGAAAAGAAGCTTAATAAATGAATTCACAGGCACACACAGGCACACACTTTTCCCATATAGAAAGAGAAAATAGGGGGCTGTGATAAATCTGACGAGTTAGCCTGGATGGCAAGCCATAACTGACTAGGACCTCTGTGGCATCAGCTGGAGCACTAAAATCACAATTTCTCTCTTGTGATGAATTTTACTTGTGGGATTTTATTTTAAGTGGTTGCTCATAATTCCAAAATATCTGAGGGTAAACTCTTAGCACAAAGTTTTAACCGTTTGTTTTAAGATTAACTCCAGTAATTTAGGAATGTGTGGCATAAACTTCAGACCTCAATGCTTGCACTATAATCAGTATGGTAGAATTGCAGAATTGCACCGTCTTTATTGTTTTCTCAAAGCAATGCCCATTATTTCCAAATCGATTTTACTTCAATTGTCGATCTCCCTTGTTCTCTAGAAGGCACGCTCAAAACTATGTGCTTGAGCAACATTAGTTCAGTCTTATGCATCAATGGAAGCAACTGCCACAGAGTTCAATGGAACCGAGGTACTCCCTGGTCCCTCTTTAGGCTCCGATGAACTGAGTTTACTTCTGGGGAGGTGTGCGTCCCACGAGAACAAATACTGAAAGGTAGCAGTTTTAAACCCAAAGCCCGAATTTTGTGGAAACTTAATGACAGTCACCTTTATTCTTCCTGATCTGAACACAAGCCCGCCAGAGCAACAGAAAGAAAGGGATCTAGTCGCATATAAAATACAATAGAATTTTATAGATAGAATACTTCTCCTATTTTATCATCATTCATATAGTAAGTGCCCCACAAGAAGGAAGGAATCTCAAACTCTACGATTACTCATAAAGGCACATACAAATATCCGTTTCTTCCTGGCAACGTCCTTGCACTTAAGAAATTGAAGGACTTGTTGAACACAAGCCACGAGCTCTTTTCCCAGTTCAGACGCGGTAAGAATTGGGGGCGAAGCCGCCAAGAGTGGGCAGCTGAACTGCGGAGTTCCGCCCAGTTTCGTCCGCTGGAGTCGAGATCGGGCGGAAAGGGCCGAGCTGTATAGGTCAGCTCCCGGGCCCGCAGTCCAGACCGCCAGAGCCGATTAAAGCGCCCACAAGAGCCAAGTAGAATGCGGGGATGGGAGAGGGGAGAGAGGGGGAGGGAGAGGGAGGGAGAGATCCGACGCCCTCCCAGTCTATGGGCGAAGCAAGGCGAATCCCGACCTCCCAGGGCGCCGAAGGGCTTCTCTGCCGGGGAAGGACCTCCAGCTTCCGCTGCCCGGCGGGCCCGTGGCTGGCGGCTGCCTGAGAACGGCCGTCATCCGAGCCAGAGTTCCGTGGGAATGCTCGCCTCGTGCCCAGCAGCCGGGCTCAACCGTCTCCTCGCGGGAAGTCCAGTCTGATCGCGACGAGCCCAAGTGCCTCGGCTGAGTAGCTCGCGTGGGGCTGCTGGGTGTCATCGCCCGAGGAAGCTCCGCTGGGGAAGGTGAGCCGGGGTCTCTTCGGCCTCTTTCGAGCTCTGCAAAGGTGCCGGTAAGATGGAGCGGCTGCAGCCGTCGCACCCCTCCGCTGTGCCCACCTGCCTTTTCGGGGTTAGGACGGCGGGCAGACGTTAACTTGTCTGGCCGATGTATTTGCTTACCCAATATAAAAACTTCCTTCAGAAATAGCAATAGCACTTAGACTTATATACCTCTTTACCGCCCTCTCGAAACGGTTTACAGAGTCAGCGTATTGCCCCCAACAATTTGGGTCCTCATTTTACCCACCTGGGAAGGATGGAAGGCTGAGAGTCAACCTTCAGCCTGGTGGGATTTGAACTGCCAAATTGTAGGCAGGTGGCTGCAGAAGTAGCTTGCAGGATTGCAACTCTAACCACTGCACTACAGAGGCTCCTAAATAAATAAATAAATAAATAAATGCTGGAATAGGTCAAATAAGTTTTGGAGAAAGACATTCTGTGTTTGGAGGATTTGTGGATGAAGCAATTTTTAGTCTTTTTATTAAATCCTAGAACTTCCTCAAGTCTTACACCTTCCACTTTGCTTAGCCACTTAAAAGGATTGAATAAATTTAAAGTACAGATAGTCGTCAGTAAATGGAGGTAAGTAATTAGGACTGAGAACTCTGTTGCTTAACAAAACAGTCATAAAGCACAATATATCATGACCTCACTGATTTGTGACAGCGGTTCCAGTTCTGATGGATTAGGCAAAACCCCTGTGGTCAGTTGGTGTGATGCCATGTAATCACAATTTGCAAATTCCTACTGGTTTCCCCTTGGCTTTGTTTTTGGAAGCAGAAAGTGAAGGTTGGACATGGCAATCAAACAGGATACTGCAACCATTGTAAGTACAATTATAAGCCCAGTGTCCAAATCACAATTGTGTGGCCATGTGGATGCTGCAATGGCTACAGCTTTGAGCATGTCTCTTTGTGCAATATTATCCTAATTTTGGTTGGTCACTGAATGAATGACAAGACTACCTCTAAAACTAGACTCATAGTAAATATGGTTTTTTTCTCCTTCCATTAAATTCAATTCCTGGAAACTGCTTAAATTAATCTCTGTAGTTTTCTGGCAAGAAGTAGTATGCCATTGCCTCCTTCCTAGGGATAAGAGTAAGTAAGTGGCCCAAGATCTCCTAGTTTCTAGCCTGATGCCTTAACTTAATCACTACACCAAACTGGCTTTGCAACAAAACTGCAGAGACATTTCCAGGCAATCTCAGATAATTGGACATGATTTAACAGAAGAATGGAAATTGGACACATTAAAGCACAAAACAAAAGAACAGTGATGATAATTTAAAAGAATATGTTCACTAAAATCATGGCAATACCTCTTCTAAAGGCCAGTCACAGTTGTAGAGAAAATGTATTCTAAAATTGGAGCTAATATATTTCAAAATTTAGGAATAACCAGTGTTAGCTTCCAAATTCTGGTTGACAAGAATAGAGTCTATTCAAGCTTGAAGCTTGTTCCCTATAATAAGACAGGTAGAACCACATACTTTTATATTTCTTTGTCAAATCTGTCTCCACTGTCACCACCATCTATTTTAGCTTGACATACACTATTAATAAGTCACCAGTAAGCATTCAACCATCAGAAAAAAGGAAAACAAAAATTAATTTTGGTGCAACATTTCTTCTTGTAAATATGATTGTGAGACACACATACACACACGTGTAGCACACATTTAATTTTCAGGATGCCAAATGTATCATTACAGAGCATTGAATTATTTACTTGCAGATTGAATAAAATGTGATTCAAGTCCTTCTTGCTATTGTGTTTCTCTGTTTTGCTAGATCTAAGAAGAATTTTGTGTGAAAATGGCATCAACAAGTGTTACGCCTAGTCCTTTCGTGGAACTAGATGGTAATAATAACATTTTAAAATTATGTAATCTTAGTAATTATAAAATTCTAATTAGGGAAGCTATTTAATTCTGGAAAATGCATATCAAGAGATATAGTAAGGAAGGAATCTGGGAAGAATGATGCATTGTTGGTAGGCTCTTCATATATTATGTATAGAGACTAAAATAAAGCATAGTGAAATAATTAACTGCATGGCAGGAGTGAATTGAATTAGTAGGTTAAGAAGCTGCATACTCTATGGATCTCTCCTTGGTGCATCTATGGCAAAAGAAAGGAGCAGGGGTGGGATTCAACTGGTGTTACTACCGGTTCGGTGAGAGTGCGTTTTGCATGTGTGTGTACAGCATTTGCAAAAAACCATCAGCTGTGCCACCCGGACAGCTGACAAGTGCTGCACACGGGTGCACAGTGTTTGAAAATCCTCTTCTTTCCTGCTTTTTCAGCCTCAGCTGTGCCGTGCAAAGCAATTGAGGTTGAAAAAGCAGGAAATAAAGTACAGCCAAGAGCCCAGGTGAGCCAAACAGGTGACCAAAAGGGCGTCACAGAGAACTGGTTCCGTGTCTGCTGCTCTTCAGAGCTACCAGTTCTATAGAACCGGGCTGAGCTGGTAGCATCCCATTCCTGGAAAGGAGTCTGTGGTTCGCTAAACCTGGTGCTTCAGTGGGGTCTTGGAGACCTAAGTAGGCTTTATGATCTCAAGCATCCATGCCCACTTGAAAACTAAAGCACTAAATTTCTTCTCTAAATTATGTTTATTGCTTTTAAGTAAAAGAGTTTCTATTTATTTCTAACCCAGATAGTCCTTGACTTATGATAGTCTGAAGTTACAACAGACCTCTCCCCTATGGCTCATTGTGATCTGGATTCAAAATTCCAATGTCTGGGGACATTCCTCCCCACCAATCATATGATTGCATTTTGGGTGCTTGACAACTGGTCTGTGCATCTTCCTGCAGTCACATGACCACAATTTACTACATTTTGTTTTTTTGCCAGAAATTAACATTTACTTCCAGTTTCAGCAAAAAATGCCCTTTTGCAAATAGTAGATTCCCTTAATGACTGTGACTTTATGTTCCCCACATTCACTTAGCAACTGCTTCAGTAAAGTCAAAAATTCAGCTGTGGTTGCACGATGACCCCTTTAATGATCAGCATGACTGTAATTCAAGGTTTACCTGTATATATAGAGGCCTCAGCTTTTTGAAATATACATATATTTCTCTTTAGAGATTTTTATTGCTTCTTAATTGTCCCACTTGTTTTCTGATTCCACAAATATTCCATATCATCATTTTGATATACTCTTAGATGGAGTCACAGTTAGGAAAGAGAAAGAGGGAAAATATAACTTAAAAAAAAACTTTTTGGTATACAGCCCTTTTATCAAACTGTCTTCACTGATACCTGATCTGGCCTTTCCAAATGCACAAGTCTTTGCCACCAGCAATCCACTCTTCCGTTCTCCCTTTCAGGTCCTTCTGTCCCTCAGCTGCAGATCCTTGATTGACCCAGAATATCCAGTCACCATAGCACAAATACCACCTCCAGCAATGTCCAACATCCACCAACAACATACTCCATAACCTAAGAAATCTGTTCCCTTCAGTATTTTCACTAAAAGACAGACATGACTGATCTCAGCTTTTTCAATTAGGGAGAAAACTTCTCACTGTTTGCATGATCTTATGCATTGTGCTGGCAAACAAGAACAAAAACCCTTTAACACTGAGGCCATTGTACAACTCCTCTCATCTCATTCTGCCAGGGGATCTCTCTTGGAGATGCTGCTAAACTTTCTTGGCCAGTGTAGTCAGTGATGAGAGATGCCTAGAATGATTGTTCAACAATATCTGGGGGGTGGGGGACTAATGATTCCTGATTCCCTTTCTTAAGGAAATTGTAGTTCTTTAAGTAACATAACTATATACTTAAGAGAGGTGCAAATACATAAAGTTTATTTTATGATAATCCTATTTCACAGGATTCCAAAATATCTATGCTCCAGAATAAGAGGAACTGTCTTGGGGTGGGTTTCTGGAGAATTCCCAGGTGGGAACAGACAGAGGTGGTCCCCAGGTTTTCTACTTACAGCTCTGAACTAATACTCTACTTCATCCTTTATACCCTAAATGCCAAGTAACATAACCTTTAAATGACCTATAACACAATTAACTGTTATGTAATTTCTGCTCTACAGTATGAAATTCATAGTTCTGCTAGAGCGGAGAACATGCGGGTATCTGAAGAAGTGTGCTGTTATATTATGAGATAACTTTTTATTTATTATAAAAAATATAATTATATATTATATTATATGTAATATAATATGTTGACATCAACAGATAAGTATAAGCTGTTGGTGTTTAAGATGCTGAAAAATAGACCCTCTGCTGTTTTTGCTGCAACAGACTAACATGGATGGCTTGTTGGGAATAACTTGGTTGATGTGTCCTTGAAAAGCACATGTTTGTTTACCTGCTGCAGATTCTAACCTAGTAATACAAAACTGCTGTTGCCTGTTGTTAGTGCTGACATTTTCAAGTGTACTAAAATATTTTTCTTTAATATTGTCCATCAGAAGAATACAGGCAAAAATCACCTTTTGAAAGGATGAACACTGAAATCTACCTTTACAGAGATATTGAATGCACAGAGAAAGAAATTGTAAGTATTCGACTGGTCAGCTATTGCTGACTATAATGCCTTCTTGGCCTCTTTGTTTGGATCAGTTTCACATATCCCATTGAATCATAGTTTGCTTTACCTCCAAAAAAGGTAAGGGCAGTTTCATAGACAAACCAAAGTCATCAGGGCTTCTTACTAATGTGGAATAACTAATTGCAGTTATATTTTAGACAATGAAAAATCAACAATTTAAAATAAGACAGCAATAACGATAATACAAATAATTATAAATAGAAACCAGAACTTTCTGTATGTTTTAAACATTCATTTTGGACAACCAAAAGAGAAAGGTCTGCTTCTTTCTCTGGAGCCAAATAAAGAAAGTATCATATATTATGGCTAACAGAGCTCCTTAAATCAAGTTTCTTGCCTCTTCCTCCCCCTCCTCCTTCTCAATTTCTTATTATCTTGCTCTTTCTCTGCTCCTTCTTCTTCTTCAGTTAATTATTGGAAATAACAATTGGAAACAACAATATGAAGATTCAACGGTAGTTTGAGAACATGAAGAAAACACATTAAATGAATCACAGAGAAATTCTCTTGGCTACCATTTAGTTTCTCATTTAATTGGAATTCCAATAATTTACTTTCAAATTTCGTAGAACTATAATATACATTCAAAAAATAGAGAACAACCTGCAGAACAGTGGTGGGATTCAATTTTTTTTTACTACTGGTTCTGTGGGCGTGGCTTGGTGGGTGTGGCAGGGGAAGGATACTGTAAAATCTCCAGTCAGAGGTGGTATTTGCCAGTTCTCTGAACTACTCAAAATTTCCACTACCGGTTCTCCAGAACTGGTCAGAACCTGCTGAATACCACCTCTGCTGCAGAAGCAATAAAATTTGCCTAAGTAGATTTTCTTTAAAAACTCATTTCCTGATATATCATTCTCCATTCCCATGCATGTAGAGTTGGGGATAACAAAATACGTGGACTTTTTGAAAAAGACTGGTAGAGTTATATTTGGATGTGTTTTTATTATTTTTAACATTGTGTTTAATTTTTAAGCCACCTTGGAAATAAAATAAAATCTTTACTATGATCATAGACCAGCATAAGCCTTGAGAAGATTATGACTTTGGAAGGTGGTTAGGAAATGCATTGTACATTTTGAAAAACTCGACAATAAACATGGATTTCAATTTTAGATTAGAAAAACTAAGCAGACTGTTAAGGCATATGAAAGGAGCACCATTTCATCAAGAGCCCGGTGTCGAAAAGCTTTGAGAAAACTAGAGGAAGTCACTGAACAAGAAACAACAGAAACAATGGGAAAAGATGTTCCTGCTCTGAATTGGGCTCTTGCTTTTGCAAAGTGTGAGTAAACATTTTAGACTGCAGGAACACTGATGAATTTTGTGATTTTTGCGGTTTTGATTAAGTTGATATTTTCATAGATGTCTCTGATTGGGTCAGGATTTTCTAATCAGTTTAGTGGTTTTTAATACACAATAATATCATTGTTGTTTTCCCTTTCTGGTATTTTTGCCCAAATGCTCTCAACTGGATTTCTGTGCCTCAGTATCTGGATCTAAAAAAACGTGTGAACGTCTTTTACATTTACTGCCACCCTTACCCCACCCCCCACTTAATCTGGCTTACTCTTTGGAGTAAGTGGTACCCTTTAATCCTTGCATTCCACACATGAGTTTTATTCCACCAGGTATTTAGTACAGGTAGTCCTTGCTTGTTGCCTCATGACCACAAGTTCCATCATTAAGCTAGGCAGTCATTAAGTGAGTCACACCCTATTTTGCAATGTTTTTTTTTGCCAAGGTCATTCAGGGATTCCAGCTTTCCACTTTGGCTTTGCTTGTCAGGGTCCTTTGGAAGATTATGAATGATAATCATATGACACCTGGACACTGCAATCCTCAAAAATACATGCCGATTGCCAGTTTTGATCATGTGACTGCAGAATCACTGTGATAAACATTAAATTAATGGTCATAAATTGAGGATTAGCTATAATGCCATTAAGACTTTTAGTTTTTCCTGTTTGTTCTTTCTAGCCTCTAATTATCTAAAGACTTTGGAAACCCTGAATCATATAACACAGGGAGTTCCTTCCAACTTATTACTACCATAGATTGGTGCCTTCAGATCCTGCATGTTATTCTCAGTAGAGTGAGGTCACTATTTTCTGGAGTTTTTTTTCTCACCCCTCACTCATTCCATATGGGTGAGAAGAAGTTGTTTTAAAATTATCTGTATAATGTGTGTAAGTTATCTTCCAAACCAGTGGTGGGATTCAATTTTTTTTACTACTGGTTCTGTGGGTGTGGCTTGGTGGGCGTGGCAGGGGAAGGATACTGTAAAATCTTCAGTCAGAGGTGGTATATGCAGTTTCTCCAAACTACTCAAGATTTCCACTACCAGTTCTCCAGAACTGGTCAGAACTTGCTGAATATCACCTCTGTTCCATACACATTTCCCAAACCTCATCCAGCTGTACTGGAACATCAACAGGGACACTCTGAAATCTATTCTGAAGATAAAAAGAAAAAAAAACAGGTCTTGACTGGTAGATTTGTTTTCTTCTTATCTTCAAGGAACAATGAAATATGATGGCACATCTCAAAAGAGGAAAAGAAATCTTGCTTTTGTGGAATATTCTACATAGTCATCTGCTAAATGGGTATTTTACAGAATAGTTTGCTTGAACTACTCTGCCAAACTCCTGTTGGCTCACTAATTAAATGAATTCTTAGTTTTGGCTCTATTTTTAGCATAGTTTCTTTTGGTTTGACATTATACAACTTGTTTAACATGTGGTCAGACACTTAATATTTCAATATTTAAAATTTCAGTTTAATTGTGTTAAGTCATTGATAATATAGCTTTATTTTAAAACATAGGCTGCAGAAGATCAGGAGAAAAAAAATCACACAAAATTTTTTTTTAAAGGTTGTCAAAGTGACAAACAGTCTATAGCAGATTACATCAGTGAAGAGAAGGAGCTATTTCTATTGGAGGTAACTGTTTTTATAAACTTTATAAAAATAGTATCATATGTGTTTATGTTTCTGCAGGCATTCTAGAAAACCTTCAAGATTTAGCTATTCTCCTAGGTCTCAGGCTAGGTTGGTTGGTTGAATTGTGTGTGGCTGAAGATAGTTGGATCTTTTTTTTATCATTCTTGCATTCTGCTTTAATGTATTTGGCTTTATTTTTCACTATCAAACTAGGTTAGACTTGGGTAGTGTCTAACATGAATCAATTAAATGAAATATATATCTGTATAGCATTTCTCATACAGGTAGTCCTTTACTTAGGACCATAAATGAACTCTGAATTATGGTCATAAGTCATGAAAGTCCTTAAATGATCAGGCCCGATTTTACAACCTGTTTTGTGGTAGTCGTTAAGCAGATGCTCCAGATGTTAAGCAACAGAGCAGTCCTTAAACAAATCTATTTTATCTAGTGAGAGATTTTTTTTGCTCAAACAGAGCAAACAGCCTGTTTCAGTTATAGCATAAGCTTCCTGAAACCAGATTTATCATGCACAGACTTAAATGTGCACAGACTTACACAACTCTTGTACTATGGCATAATCACTAGGCTGAGGGAGAAGTGGGTCACAGCTGATGAGGAAAAGTGGACTTTGCTAGACTACCCAAAAAAATGTGGTGAAAATATCCAATTTGGAGAACTGAAACAGAAAAATAATCATGGGGCTCTTTAAGAATAGCTATAGTAGTTTGAATAAGCTACTGGTATGTAATTGCAGCTGATACAAAGACAATAGAAAAAGAATCCTGACACTTTTAGGAAGATTTCATTAAATGGTTTGTGAATGAATGATTCCTCTTTATTAGTTACAGAATCAAGAAAAGGATATGATGGGCTGCTAGTTAATAATGCAATTTCAAGATTTTATAGACTTAAAAAATAGAACACACACACAGAGTTGTATGCTAGCTCACATTTCTGAATCTATCATGTAGCAGTAAATGGTATTCATAATTTTCAAAATGGAGAAAGATGACACACGTGAGAAATGATTCAGGAAAGTAATTTGGGGAAAGTGATCAATGGCTTGCTTGACAGGAACATATAGGCTTGTCTCTCTCACACATATACACATGAAATCCAAGTCAATATTTTAAATCAATATCTGAGTCTTTTTTTAAAAAAACAGCAATATTTAATAAGATCTTTTCAAAATGCTCAGTGCCAGAGAAGTGCATGGGAATGCTTTGGGTATGACAAGTTACTGTACGTTAAGATGTTTTGTACATAACATTTTGCTATTGTTTTCTTTCGCCAGTACTCTGTTAAAGTAAAACAACGCACCATGGCAAGGCTGGAGAAGATGGCAGCAAAGGAAGAGAGGAGGGCCAGAATTGCTGAAACAAAATTAGAAGACGATACCCTTTCATTCGAGGAGTTTCTCAGACAAAATGATAGGAGTTCTGTAGAAGCCCTTAAATTGTTAGTTACAATTCTATTTTTAACTCTACAGCAGACTGTAGTGGCCACATTTGGAGTATAACTTCAAAAGTTCATTGTCTGGTTCCCTCTTCTGTTTTCCCAAGTAAAAAGCCCTCAAAGAGAAATTGCAGGAAATGGATTCTCTTTCCCCCCCAAATACTTTCCTTTTCTCTCTGCTAGATGTGTTTCTTAGGTTTTAGAAGTTTTTTAAGTAATTGGTCATCCTTGGCTTTTGAATGGTGTCATAGGAGTCACATTCTAAAATATTGATGCCCAAGAAAAAACAGTGTGTTAGGCCAGGCACAAGTTTGATTTGATTTAGCTTATATTACATTAAATAAAAATAAATATTATTAAATAATGTCTCTATGATTACCCTTCAGGACATTAATAATGTCCCCATGTCACATCATAAACATTGTAATTCAGCAGCTTTTGCAGGAGTTTATGGAGCCAAACATGAGGCATTCAGCAACTGTACTTTCCTGTTACAGAATATGAATAAAAACATACATAAAGGCCCATAGATAGCTGTTTTCTGAACTGCATCTATGTACTCTATGCCGTGGGCAACTGTAATAAGGAGTCTTTACTTTTCCCTAATCCAGTTCCTTAAATAAGCTTCTGTTCACCTCTAGATTAATTCCAGACCACCCTGCCAAGATATCTCAAACCTGTCTTTACCCCAAGCATCATCATGTCTGCAATGATAACTCTGGGATTTATGATGCCCCCACATTAATCATTTCCACTATTAGTTACAATTCAGAACTGCAGTGGGCTTGCACACTCATATACCCACTGAGTTATCCCAAAAGAGACTCTGCTGCCCTTGTGTCATGATTAAACCAATTTTGTTCAAGTCCTTGTTTGAATAAGAAATTAATGTATTTAGAAGAACTGCAGAGTAATGTGACAGCATACGTGTACATTTGAAAATAATAATAATTTCTTCCATTAGGTGACTACCACCTACTAGATTTGGGATCTTTCTAATTTATGCCATTTGATCTCAGATGTAATACTTCATAATTGCTCATTGTGAGCAGCTAAAGGGGTAAGAACTTAAAAGGACCTAACAATAAACTAATTGAGTTTTAGAAACAGAATTCTATTACAAATAAAGTGAAGGAACTGTTTCTGTAGATGAGATTTCACTGTCTACCTTATCACACCCAAAAGGAATGGGGAGTTTCCAAAGATTCCTGAAGAATTTCTTATTATAAGAAGAAGCTGATATTAGGAATCAGCTACATACAATTTCCTTTAGACAAAAGGGTTTACGTCAAGGGAAATTTTATTGTGTTTTTCATTTTCAGTATTTTCAAGTAATAACAATAATTGCTGAATGTCACATAGGATTTTCTCCCTACTCTGATGAAAAATTACATTGCTTGTTTTGTTTTTTTAAGTTTTCTTTAAAATTATCCTCAAGTTATTTTCTCATTAAGTTTCTGGATTACCAAAAGTTTATACAACTATCATCTCTTTTGAAGAGACAAAAATACCCCTTCTTTCTTGATTTAAGAGATATAAACCACATCTGTATAACTATTTCAATATTTGGAAAAGGGGTACTTTCAAGTTATTGATCCTGGCAACTGCCTGAGTCCCTGCACTTTTCTTGGCAAGATTTTGGAGGGTTGTTTTTGCTAATGCTTGCATCCCAAGGCAAAGAGAGGCAACTGGCCAAGGTCACCCAGCTGGCTTCATACCTAAGATACTAGAACTCACAGTCTCCTAATTTCTAGTCTGGTGGCTTAGCTAGTACATCAGATTGACTCTGTATTTCAATATGAACATCTCTGTATTAAAATAACATGCAGCCTTTTTCTAGGGCAACTCAAGAGGCAAAATACAAAATGGAAGTAACAACAGAACTGAGGATAGCCATGAATGAACTGTTCTCCCTTAAAAGGTGAACTCTTTCTCGTTGCTTTATGAGAGAGATTTATGGGAAGGATTCTTGATGATGTGATTCTTAGTATATTTTTCCACAATGCAGCATCTTCTTGCTCTATGAAGTTGCATTTCAAGTACCAGATACCTACACAAGGGTCTTTATACATCTGTCATACAGAAAGGCACGAAGTGATCCAGCTCAAAATCTTTAAAATGTACACTATTTATATCATAGACAACTGAGAAGTGGCAGCTGAGATACAAAAAACCCCCAAAGCTTTAGAACTATAAAATAAATGGAAAATTGAGTAGATGTTCTTATTAAGCCCAAGTTAATACTTTCTATTCTTTTTATAAAGCATATTCAAGTGTTCTTTTTTAAATTTCTGAACAAGTTCATAGATGTTTATAATAAAGGACAGAAAGTTTCTTGGTGAAATAATCTTCCCCAAATTCAAGTAATTTTGAAAAACATTGCTGCCCAGACATAGTACAAGTAGCTCCAGTACTAATAAGAACGATTATAAAACCATATACTGTAATTCAGGGGAAATGTTCTACTCAGCTTTTTCAATTATATTTTAAATGTCTGCTTGGTGCTGTACATCTGTAACATCTTGTATGCCTTGTGTCCCTTGTTTTCTTTTGACATATGCAGTGAAATTGCAAACACTGAAGACCTTTTGAAGCTGTATTTATCCTATGAAGCCTTTTTGTTTAGTATTTCTCCCAAAGCGTGGCAAGAGCAGCAGATGGCAAAGAGGAAGAAAGAACGGAAAAAAAGCCCTTCAAAATCCCTTATTTCTTTCCCACCAGCTGCTGATAAAGCCAAACTAATCTCACCCTCCATTATACTGCAAAATAAAGCGAGTAAGTACACAGTTTTCAGTGGTTCATTGACCATTTAAATTACAGTGTGGGGGAATACTGCTGTAATCCTTCTAGCAAGCACACCAACTAGGAATCTTGAGTGATACAAGGTTAACACATCTGAAACAAACTAAACTGAAAATATATAAAGGACAATATATAAAGGCAGGAAGTTTTAATGTATGTAAAAAAAGAAAAGAAAGGGAAGCATTGAACTTCCATTAATATGAGATTGCCTGTGAATAAAGTTTTTGAATAACTGGAGGAATTTAGGATACTTCCTCTATGATACTTTTAATATATTCCCATCTCCTGCTTTAGGTTTGCAGGGAAGGTGGCAAATAGGAACAAACAAATATGTAATTTAGCCATGCGTCATATTGACTAGTTCATTTGTAATAATTATGATCCATGGGGCATTTGTTGTACCTGAAAGCACTGGGATATCCAGTTCCAATCACCACCCTTTATTCGTTCTGGTCAATTTGTTTAATGTACCAGAAGTGTTCATGTTAACAAAAGGAGATTAAGATGAATGGGGACTCATCAGGATACCAAAACCACAATTGGAAACAAACCATCAATTTACCAAATAGAAAAACTAAAAACGTACGGTA